AAATTTACACTCGAGGTAAATTTAAATACTCTTGGCAACAATAGGTCAAAATTCCTTTTTTTGCACTGCCCAGAATGCAGATCAGAACATGACTACCTATAATCATCCACCCAATCATTTTAAGAGACAAGACATCATGAGTTAGTGTTACATAATTTCTTGATCCATTTCCAGCAAATGCCAAGAATCATCTAGAATTCAAATTTTCTGTCCACAGCTCCCCAAAATTAGGAGCAATGGTTCATATTTATCAGTGAGCAAACCATCAAATATCAGGCACAAATGGCAGCCAACTTTGAAACCATACAATTAATTCAGCACAATAGAAGAAATTGCTACATCCATCACATATCCTGCATTACAAATGAGAATAAATGAACCTTTAATCGTGAAATAGGAAACCACTCATTTTGCCATTCTGATGAAATAGTTAGGCTAACCACTAGCTCAGGGATCATATTCAAATATCAAAACGTCACATTTCTCTGTTTAGCGTTTTTCTACAACAGTTTCTAGCATGTCATTACATTTGTTTTTCATTCACCCATCTTTGAAATTCTTTGTTAAAACCCAACAAATAGCTTTCACGTAGATTTAACAATTCCTGTCTCAACTCTCAAAAATTTGAGGAATGGTTTTCAATAGCAGTTAGCAGTCAGTTTAAATCAACCTAGTGTGGAGCTGGAGGACCACAGCAGGTCAGGCAACAGAGGAGCAGGCAAGTCGATGTTTCAGGTTTACATCCTTCATCAGGACTAGGGAGGGGGAAAGAGAACTGGGAAATAAATAGGGGGAGGAGGGGTGGGGCAGGGGGAAATAGGTGGATGCAGGTAGGGGGTAGTGGGGATTGGTCAGTGGGAAGGGTGGGGCAGATAGTGGGAAAGAAGATAGGCAGGTAGTGTCAGGTCAAGGTGGCAGGAATGAGAGGGTGGGAGGGTTGGACATGGGATGAGGCCAGGGATGGGGAGATTTTGAAACTGGTGAATTCTATGTTGAGGCCATCGGGTTGTAGGCTCCCGAGGCAGAATATGAGGCGTTGTTCCTTCAGTTTGTGTGTGACATCATTATGGTTGCCTCCAGTGTTAAGGATGGACGTGTTACCAAGGGAGTGAGAGGTGGTGGTGGTGGTGGTGGTGGGAAAGAGTTAAAATGGTTGGCAACTGGAAGGTGTTGTTGGTTATAGCGTATAGAGCACAGATGCTCCGCGAATTGGTTACAGAGTCTGCGCTTGGTCTCATGATGTAGAGGCAGCCACATCAGGAGGAATGGATACAGCAGGTTGGAGGATGTACGGGTGAATCCTGTTGGATTCGGAAAGATTGTCTGGGGCCTTGAACAAAGATGAGGGGGGAGGTGTAGGGGCAAGTGTAGCACCACCTGCGCCCCCACCACCCAATCACTGACCCCACCACCAAAGAGATATTTCCCTCCCTACCCCTATCTGCCTTTCATACGGACCGCTCGCTCTGCAACTCCCTCGTCTGCTCCATACTCTTCTCCAACACCATCACACCTGGCACCTTTCCCTGAAACTGCAGGAGGTGCTACACCTGCCCCAACACTTCCCTTCTCACCTCCGTCCAAGGCCCAGACAATCTTTCCAAATTCAACACGGATTCACCTGTACATCTCCAACCTGGTCTACTGTATCTGTTACTCTTGATGGAGCCTCCTCGACATCTGAGACACCAAGCGCAGACTTGGTGAGTGATTCACAGAGCATTTGTGCTCTGTATGCTATAATCACCACCATTTTCTGGTTGTCAACCATTTTAACTCCTCCTCCCACTCCCTTGGTGACATGTTCATGCTGGACCTTCTCCAATGTCACAATGACATAACATGCAAACTAAAGGAAGAGCACTTCATATTCTGCCTCAGGAGCCTACAGCCCAATGGCCTCAACCCATGTTCAACCCTCCCGCTCATCCCTGCCCTGTCCATCTTCTTTCCCACCTATCCACCCTACCCTTCCCACCGACAAATCCCCATTACCCCTACCTTCCCCCAGACCCGTCCCTCCTCCCTCTATTTCACAGTTCCCTTTCCCCTCCCGAGTCCTGAAGGGTGTAAACCCGAAATGTTGACTTTCCTGCTTCTCTGATGCTGCTAGTCTGGTGTTCCTCCAGCTCCACATTGTATTAACTGACTCCAGCATCTGCAGTTTTTGCTATCTCGTAGAAGTCAGTCTAATTTACACAAACATGTGTGAGCCATCATAAAGCTCAGTGCTTGTGTGAACACAAATATTAGGAGCAGTTTAGTGGGGAGCAGCCATTATTCTATACTGACATGGGAAAATTGACAAAGCCAATTGCAAGTTTTCTATAAATTGGTAAATAAGTTTACTGTACCTTAGAAGAGAGGAAGGTTCTTGTAAAAGGAATGGAAAGATAAATCAGCAGATTCAGGAGAACAGTGGTACACCAATTTATTGCTACCCGCCCCCTTTTATATCTACACTTGCATACTGCCCCTAGCAAGGGCACAGCATTCACCTTGAGGCCTATCAGCACATGACATGGTACCCAATGACTAATTGTTCCAGAAGGGCGTAAAAATGAACTACGTTCAGCCCAGGGTCCAAGGATGGAAATAAACAAATGATATGGGTTGCAGTCCCTCAGGGTGTTGGGCACATCTTGTTTATCAATACTATTGACTTTAATTCACCTTCATCTTCTAAATGAGCGGAAGGGTCAAAAATAAATACAAATTGCACATTGTGTACTGCAGGGTAATATGAAGTCAAGGCTTTATCAAGGGCAGATTATGTCTGACAAATGCAATTGAGTTTTTGATGAAGGGACAGGCAATGGATAAGATTAGTGCTATGGATGTTGTGTATTTCAACTTTCAGAAAGCGTTTGACATGGTGCCACATAGAAGGCTGGTTAGCAAATTAGAAATGTTTGGGATGGAGTGGCCCTTTATTGCATGGATTAGAAGTTGACTAAAAAGATAGGAAACAGGGGGTAAGTATTGATGCACATTTCTCAGACTGGAGAAGAGTTGAAAAGTGTGTTCTAGAGGTATTGGAATTGGGACCCTTGCTTTTGATTTATACAAACGATTTGGAGATGGATGTTGAAGGCAAAGTCTAAATTTGCAGATAATACTAAGCTAGGGAGAATAGTTAATTATGAGAATGACACTGAATGACTTCAGAAGGACATTGCCTGTTTGGCCAAAACAGGCAGATACCTGGCAGATGAAATTTCAAGGCAGAAAAACAGAGGTAATGCATTTTGGTAGAAGAAATGGAGGGACAATACAGGCTCAATGATACAACTTTCAGGGAAGTACAGGAGCAGAGGGATCTTGGTTCATGTGCATAATTCTCTGGGAGTGGCTAAAGAAGGTGGAACAGTTAAGGAAGCTTATAGGATTCTTGGGTTTATAGAGGCATAGATCATTTATCAGACCACATTTGGAGTATTGTGTTCAGTTCTGGGCACATGATTTCAGGAAGGATGTTAAAGCCCTGGAGAGAGCACAAAGTACATTTATGAGAACGATACCAGGAATGAGGGATTTTAGATACAAGGAAAGATCAGAGCAATTGGGCTTATTCTCCTTGGGGCAGAGAAGATTAGAGGTGACTTACTGAGGTGTTCAAAATTATGAACAATTTGACAAGGTAAACAATGCAACCTGTTTCCACTAGTTGGTATGTCACTAGGGATCACTATTTCAAGACTGTCAGCAAGACAGCTAGGACTGAGAGGAGAAGAAAGTTCTTTACTCAGGATTTGGAATGCACTGCCTGGGAGAGTCGAGGAGGCATATTCCCTATAAGATCAGTGATGAAATTAGAGGGCTACAGAGATGGGGCTGGAGAATTGGACTAACTGGGTAGCCCTTTTGTGAGATGGTACAGACATGATGGGCAAACGATGACCCTCTGTATTGTAAAATTCTATTAATCTTAAGTTTTTCCACCAAGCTTATGACTGTAAATGCTCTAAATTAGAGGTTAAATGCTCTAAATTAGAGCTAGAATTGAAAACCAGTTTGGTAGATTGCATGACATGACACTCTAGGTTTGGCTTGTGCCTAGAATTCCACATCAGATGGATATAAATCACGTTTAAACAAACTGCATTGTTGCAATGCTTAAATAAAGGCATGCTGCCCTACAGCATTTAACACTATCGGAAGCGCCAGGATTAAAACCCATGACCAATAAGAGTAGCACCAACTGCAAACCCTTTAAATTATGGAACTGTACTTACATTGTCAAGTAACAAGCTTCAAAATAGGTCTCTCAATCAAGTGATTATTTCCACGGAACACAGAAATAAATACGTCACTTTCATATCTACACTTTTAAAGTGTGCAAAGTACATTGAGAACTGAATCTCAAATGCGAACAGGAATAAAAATTAGTCCGAGACTCATTTGTACAATATTTCTATTTAAGCATTAGTCATCTTCTGCATATTTAATTCAGTTTTTGTAGAATGGTTGTCAACTCCAATTTCAGTTAGCACCATCCTAAATATCAACTCACCGTTTTTCTACGTTAAGTATATGTTGTGTCTCACAGCACTTAATCATAAAACACAACAGCTGATTTATGCCATTCAGTTTGTCAGGTCTACTAGCCATTCAATGAAATCACAGCTAATCTGATCATCCTCAACTTCACTTTCCTGCTTTTTTCCACAACGCCGATAGACTTATTGATCAAAAATCTGCCTCTGTCTTGAATATACTTAAAGACCCGACCTGTACAGCCCTCAGCGGTAATGTATCCCACAGATTCACAACGCCCAAAAAGAAATTCCACTTGTGTCTAAAATGGGCAATCCTTACTCTGAGATCATGCCCTCTGGTTCTTGACATTCTCACAATGGGAAACAACTTCTATCCTGTCGACGTTGAACCAAAAAATCCCAGGTTCCAATAGTAAACCTTAAGAGGTTTGGTCATAGTTAGCTTTTTAATTATTAGCTTTTAACTGTGTGGAGGAATTCCAAGTAATTAGTTTCACCTACCTTGGAGTTGCTTTCAGCAGATTTGGGAAGAAATGTACTAACAATTTGTCTCCAGATGAGTTTGCAGCGTTACCTATTGTTGCCTGAAACAAAGAATACCAGAAAATGCTATCAAGGTTTTGTTGAGATTTGAGAAATTTAAAGGTTTAATTCAGTGAACAATTAAGCAAAGTTGTTTAAGGCAACCCGGAGAATTTCAGGGAGTAGAAGAAAAAAGTTCAGTACTCAGTACCTTGATGCACAGGCAGAAATAAGACGTACCCTTCAGCTTCATTTTTCTTCTGATAAACAAATATTTACTTCAAATGCTTTGATGGCTAAATTTGAGTTACATAAGGCAAACTGTGAAGAACATCTGATCCACTCATTGTAAACAAGATTTATATTTAAAGCCTGTATCACATACCTCAACTGCTATGAATGCAGCATGTTCCAGTTCAGCATTAAAAAAGAAAGAAATTTTTTACAGGTCTTGTAAGATTCAGAACTTTTATCTTCATATAATGAGTGAACAATGCACATAACCAGAGTCAAGTTACTGTAGTCTAGGTTCAAGCGGCTATCAAAATACATGCATAATTAACTGGGAATGTCTGAAATTTGCAAAATGGAATTGAACTGGAGCGAACACAGAAACTTAGCTTCACTGCAATAATCAAAAGATACCTCAATCAGGCAGAAGGCACATCACAGTATCGCTCTTTCATACAACTTCCTTCAAATGACAGCTTGCAAATTTGAATTTGACATTAATTCTAAGAGAAAAATACTGACTTGCCCTTCAGCATTCACAATAATAGAAGATAAAAAGTTCAAACATTTAGAGAAATTGAGATGAAATAAGGATGAGGCAGATTATCACCTTAAACAGAAAAGAAGTTGCATGTTCCCCTTTTAAGTTGTTTATTACCTGGCTCTAGAAAAATAAAATAGCAATATCAATTTAACACAACCATTGATGGCTACATATTCAGTTGGAATTCCCTCTAAACCCTCCCCTCCTTTAAAGCACACCTTTAATATATCTGGGATCAAATCTTTTGGTCACCTGTCATACATGGTTTAGTGTTAAATTTTATTTGGATTAATATTCCTGTGACGAGCCTTGGGACATTTCTACTAGACCATTAGCATTACTTAAATTTTAAGTTATTCTTGTTATGGATAGAATCACGCACATTACATGTAGTTCAGAGTGAGTTAATTCAAATCTATCAAATTCAATTTCAAGTCAGTGGTATCATATAAGGGATTGAATGAAGTTGTGTGGAATAATCATGAATTGGAAGGCAGGAAGTTAGAATGTGTTTGTAAAAAAATTGATGAGAGAAGCATGCATGGCTCCTTTAAGAGGTAAAGTGCTTTTCTATGCTTAGAGATTTATGCAGAAAACGTGTCTAAGCAGCTGAAGGGGTACAGACAGTTCTAAAATTGAAACATGCATCAATTGGCTAGGTGACTGGAAATCTTAGGCTTGTTTTGCTGTTTTGGCAACTAGCTGGAATCAGCCAATTAATTTAAACCAAGCACTCAGCGATTGAAAGTCAATTGAATTTAAATCTGATGGTTTTGACAACTTTGGACCAATGCTACTGTAAGAAAGTCTATCCATAAACAGTACCAGGACTCTTCTAGCTAAGAGTACTCACAGAGGACTTCACAGAAAACATCTGACAGCCAGATCAGTGGAAGAAAGACAGTTATGACTTGAAAACAGAAGAAAGTCTTGTAGACTTTGACAGACTAAGTTTTAATTTATTTTATTACTACTTGGGTTTATACAAGTGGGATGTGTTTATTGGAGCAACATACTAGTAGAATTTTTAGTTAGGGAATAGTTAGGAGTTATGGGATAATTCTTCGTTTTGTTAGTCATTCGGTTAATTTGTTCACTATTAAGGTTAAATAAATAAATTGTTACTTGTTACTTATAAAGTGAATGGCAGTGATTTTCCTTCATTTAACTTCCCCTTCTCCGTAACAGTTTAACGGATTAGGCGAGCTTCAAGGAGTTTCATGTTTAATTGTTAGAAGGGGATCTCTACTACTGCCATAACAGAATGGGGGCTTGAATTCATTTTAATTATCCGAGGGGTTTGACACCCCTCCCACCATCGTAATAGAAAACTACTGTAATTCACAAACAACCCAGAAGGAATCTAAATTTGAAACAAAGGAAACTTAATTATTAGTATACAGTGTCTGTGGTGCAAATACAATGACAATTAAACTACTGATCGGACATACAGAAACATATTAAGGATGAACGTGGTGATCAGGGGTTTGATGGGCCAATATATGGTCTTCTTTTCCAATCTGCTCTTGCAAGTTCAACCTCCACAGAGCAGAGTCAAATTTGGACAAGTTATAAGTGCATCATTTGCAGGAGGCTTCTTTATAAAAATCACTTATTTAGTTACTGCTGACAGTTGTTTACTCTGCTGTCCTTTTTTTAAAAAGGAAAATTAGAACAATGTTGTCAAAATCCTGAACTAAAATGTTTCAGTGCTGTGACCATGCATCATAAACAGGAAAACGAAGTTACCCGTTCAATGCAAAACTAATTAATTAGAAAAATGTTTATTATTTCATACCAGCAAATCCATGTATTATTAACTCCGACATAAAATTCAGATGCAATACAACACTTTCCAAGATTATAGCTCAACATTTGATACAGGTGATAAGTCAAAATCTAATGCAAGCTTTTGCACTAGGCATACGATTTGCAGCTTTTTCTTATTACATCATGTCACAGAGCTGTGACCGAAAACAGTTAACAAATGTGCTTGTCCTGTAGATAAACAGCACTAATGGAAAATTCTGCCTTGCGCTTCATTAAGCAACAGGCTCATTGTAATACTGTTGTTGCCTTCTAGCTAAAACCAGTATTCAAAAGCAAGCAGCTCAATATTAACAATGGCCATCTCTCTCTCTCTCTCCACACATTCCACCGTCAACCCCTGCCTGCCCCCCAACCCTCACCAAAAGCTGTCTATATCTGCTTTGTATTAATACCACCTGCTGTTGCCATCAGCAAAATATAATGGAATGAATCCTTTCTAGGGCCTATAATTACTGGACAAAAGGAAACCAAAGGCTTAATATAGTTCAGAATCTGACAATCTCTTGTACCATTGCAGTATCAGACAAAAAGAAACAATTCTATGCAATTTGGTTACCAAAAAACTAATTTCAATCATGAGGTTTAAGGTATTCCATAACGTTTCTACAACTGACATTGGAAGGACTTTGTGGCTAGAAACAGAAATATTTGATTTTCCAGGAAGAGGGCAAGAAACTCATCAAATCTTAATCACCAAGGTATTTAAAATCCAGATGAAACAACTGCACAAAAGTTTCATACAGTATTTAGAAATGGCAAAAATTGCTACCAGTCAAGAAAATTACAAGCAACAAGTGAGGAATGCCAATCAGCAAGCAAAACTCAACCTTCCACAGAAAGTTTAATGCTTTGTAAGTAACAATCTTATGAATAAAGAAAAAAAAGACTGCGGCTCATGGGAACTTGGTGAAGACAGGGAAAGCATTATTTTTAACTGCTAATACTTGCAGTGGAAGCTTGAGGTATAGTATGTGGTTTGAAATTAGTCCATAAACAAAGAAATTCAACTAAAATAAAGACGACATTGTACCTATACAGTAGTGTGGGGGTCTCGGTGGACAGTGGGACTGTCCAGAACAAACACACAGATGACTCCATTTCTCAAGAGTCATTTAGCAGGTTTGTAACTTGGAGGGAGTCATGACAGGAGAAGAATTTTCTGGACAGTTTCTGGTACAAGGGGGAGCAAATTACTGCAGATGCTGAAATCTGTATTCAAAACCAAGGAAAAATGCTGGAAATCACAGGTTCAGGCAGCATCCAAGGAGAGCAAGCTGACATTTTAAGTCGAGATGACTCTTCATCAGAACTGGAGTACACGGTACAAGAGGTTGGTGTGATCAACAACAAGTAGAATAAGGGGAACCCAAGTGACAGAATGAGAAACTACAGAAAGTGATTCCATGGAGATATTTACTATGGTTAATGTTAGGCCCAAGGTAATGCTCTGGAGAGATAGGCACAAATTCAACCACAAAAGGTTAAATTTAAACTCAGCTAATAAGTCACAATCGTAATCTGTCACTGTTTCCTGATCTGGGCTATGTCACTCCAGAGCCGCAATGTGGGTTGACTTGGCTATCCTCAAACAGATCAGCAAGACATCCAGACAGATCAAACAGTAATTGAGTCTAAGATAGATAAGCGAGGCCAGGTGGACCACCAGACAGCTACCTAGGCAATGGACACAATATCAAAGCCCACAGTGCCATCCTTGCAAATTCCTCCTTATTAACATCTGGGGTCTTGTGTAAAAACTGGTAGAGCTATCCCACAGCTCAGCCAAATAACAGCCTGATTTAACCTTGCTCCTAAAATCATACATTACGTATCTCAGACAACACCACCACTGAGTCTGGGACAGATGGGGAGAACACAAAAACGGAAAATGCTATTTCATCTTGTTTGGGCCTACCACAGGGCAGGCCCAGAAGTAGCAGCACAGTGGTGGACAATCATGAGTTGCCCTGGGAGTTCATGCTTAAAATTGACTCTATACCCATGAAGTCTCATAACAACCACTCCAAAAAATGCCACCGCATACCCAGATGAATGAGTGCTCTTGCATGCAGAACTACAACTGGAAAGAGCACTGAATGTACCGAGGAGGGAATTTAATGTCCAACACCAAGAACGGCTTGGCACCACCACGACTGACTGAGCCCTAAAGGATAAGGCTGCTAAGCCTGGATCTGCTGCAGCTAGTGAGGGAACCAGTAGAGAATTAAACTCACTTGACCTGATCTTCGCCAAATTTGCTATTGCATGTGAATTTGTCTGTGACATTTGTTGGTGGATGTGGTCACTGCAAAACCCTTGTGGAGATGCAGTCCTGTCTTCACATTTAGAAAGTCCTCTATCGTTTTGGTGACACTATCACTTCGAACAGATCTGGCAACTCAAAGCTGCACATCCATAAGGCATTGCGGATCAACAATATTCTATTCAACCATATAA